ACATCAGGTGAACCACCAGCTCGTTTGCCACATTTTCACATAAAACACTGACTAGAGGCTATAGACAAATCACGTTACGTCGTTGAAATATAAAAAATGGAATCGCAAATTATTTAGATGAAGAAGCAACGCAAATTATTTAGATAAAGAAGAAAAAATACATAAACCTACTCACACATATTCTCCCGGCTTATATTCGGCGCTTTGGCTGAGCGTTCACCGAATTGATCGCCAAATGATATTAATAAAAAATGTTATTTTGATTTATGATTCAAATTGAACGGAAAACAAAATTAACGATGTCATTATTGGAAGATACACTATTGAGTGTAAGGTGTCTGGAAAAAATACAAAATACAAGATGACCAATAATCTTTTAATGTCTCAATGTTGTCCATACTGCGCGGCGCTTAAGAATTGATCCGCTTTACTATATATGACGTATATAAGTGAATGTGACGGATGATATAGGATGTTTAATATGGAAAGAGATAGCAGTCTATAGATTCACAATCTAATTACACCACACTTGTCGTAATTTGAGTGCGGCGTAAAAACTGATTTTCTGTACGCTAGTGTCAATTCTACCACGAGGTAATTATATTATAAACAAATACGAATTTGTATATAATATAATTGAAGATGTCAGAAAAATCGTTAGGTGTAACGTTATGTTTCGAGTCGATACGAGCTTTCCAGTAGCCAACATTAAACGTTGGAGATAATACATGCATGTCCGATCTTATTACGATAATTAATCAATCGAGTGATGGTAACAAATGGACGCTGTTAAATGACGGGCATTTATTGAATTAACTTTTCCAAACACCACATTCAAGCGCGATTACTTCTTGTGTAGATTTACTTTCGTTTGTTTTCTTCTTTTTTAAACATTTCCCTTACTTTAAATTAAAATTATCCTGTGTTGTAAGGACGTTTTACAAACATGAATTTCACGCGGTCAAATACTCAGATGCGAAACAACTATCTGTGGGTCACACAAACCAATACCTTGGCAACTTCGTCACGGAGTCATCAGTCTTTAATCAACTGCTATGAAGTATCAGACGAAAAAACTGTTTATTCATTACTAGCTGACTCGGCAAACGTTGTTTTGTCATATAAATTATTTCTCGACGAATCGGAACGCACGCATAAAGTGTTTAACAGGTTACACAGACATAGTTGACAGGGACAGTTTGTATGGGAAAATAAAATTGTTGCTATTTCGATTTTCCATGCAATTTTTCCATAATTTCTCGTCGTTTAAACGTTCCCTGGACTGGCACAACTATTTCAAAACCAAAATTAGCCAAATCGGTGCAGCCGTTCTCGAGTTTTAGCGAGACTAACGAACAGCAATCCATTTTTATATATAAGAAGATATAAAGTTTATAGATTTCCAACTTAACCTTTATTTCTTTTATCGTCAGTTGAGTGAAATATTAGTCGTTGATAGTTTAAAATTAGTTAAGTATTACATTTGCGTTGCCCTGTAACAGATGCTTCTCCAGAATTATTACTGTGGTCTCCGCATGCCATCCCAATGTGACGTATGCGGGGTAACAACACCCTTAGGGTTGAAGATGCGTTGCCACCTTATAATAAGATGGACCCCGGCTACCTCACTCATCAGACGAAATGCAAAAGAATAATACTCCCAATTCACACCGGCCTTCTGTGAAAACGTGTTACCTGCCCATTCGTGCCACAGTGAAGACTGTTGGGTAACAGTGAAGACACTTAAAGGGTTTTAAAAATGACCATATATATCGCACCCTTGGAAACTATTTGAGTATTTTCGCCAAAAATATAAACAGATGTGTTTATATCAGTAATCTATTATATAAAATTCTCGTGTTACCGTGTTTGTAATTGAACTCCTCCGAAACCACTCGACCGATTTTCCTGAAATTTTGTGTGCATATCTGCCAGGACGGAGAGTCGAACAACATCTATTTTTCATCCCTCTTAATGTTAAGGGTGGTCCACCCCTAAATTTTTAATTTTATTTTTTATATAAATTTGTTTTATGTTTTTATTTTTTTATGATACATCATACAAAAATACATACAACCTTAAATTTTCATCCAGCAGCTCGTTTTCTAATAAATACTAAATTGGTTACTCGTAACTCCTCGTCGAACGTACTCGTCGTAAGGCATTTTTTTAGATATCGTATTTCAAATTTTTTATACGCAGTGAAACAATACGTATAATATATAATACATTCTGTTGTATCAATAATTTTAATTGCCCCTTTAATTTGTTTATCCATTATGGGAAAGATTAAAATTTTTATATCATCTCTAAATTATTGGATTCTTAAGACATTTTGGACCTCAAGTGGTTTAGCGGTAAAATAGACTCGTGTAATTCAAATCACTACTTACAAGGGTCAAATGATCTAATATTTACAAGATTAATAAGATCTAAAATTACATATTATCTAATAAACCTAATCCACGCGGCATGGTGCCGAGAACGCTAGCTGCATTTCCTCGCTGAATAGTTATGCTTAGCCATTGAGCGAGAAAAGAACCAGCTCTCTTGTCACTAGCCGCGGCGTTAAGCCTAGGACATAAACTTTTAAAAAAATTTGATGTGCGGGGACCCCACGGACCTAACGTTTCAACAGCAAATGGCACAAATACATAATCTAAACGTAAAGACTCATATTTGCGCCATTTACTTACTTCAGCTGCCTCCGATGCCGCCCCGGCCCTGATCGAAGTACCCCTTAGATGAGAGGCTGCCAAAGTGTCTACACAAGTGGCGTCCCAAACAAGGGCTTTGCCTCTCTCCCAAGGGATCAATGTTAAACCGTCGAGTCTCTTACCATCGTCGCGAAAAGTGCCACAGGGCTCTAAAATAGATGGAACATTGATAGAAACAAGAGCCCTACGGATGATGTCGTTCAGGGAACCGTGGCGGGAAAAACGGCCAGCACTTTTTTGACAAGAAAGCCCGTGGAGACCAAATTTGTCTACACTGACACCACAAGGGCATTGGTGTGGTTGACAAATCGGTGCCCCCAGACGGATTCCTACAGCAATGCGTAAGCTTTCATCGTCAAGTAATGTGCCCAAGTTACTTGATGGTAAAGCGTGAAGCCAATAACTCGATTCTTTAGATGAGACGCCTAGGAAACGGGCACGCTCTAAATTACTATCTAAAGATTGAAACGTATCTCTCTGTACTCTCCGCACCAAAGGAACATCCCACTGTTTTTGTAGGTTTACTTCCAGTGGGATATTTTCGTTGGGGCAGATAGACAACCAAGACATCCTTGCCTCCTCTGCATAGGAAAGTTCTGAATCGTGATTAAGGATGTTATTACATAAATTATTTACGCTATGCACGGAAGCAAGGAAGGCAGGTAGAGCGACACTAGAAATTTTCCTTACACCGATACCACCAAAACGAATTGGCAGCGTAGCTTGAGTCCAGCTTAATTCATTAAGAGATAAATTTAGAGTTTTTTCTAGAGCTGATTTAAGATGGAAATCAATTTCGTTCAAAAAGTCACCGCATTTCCAAACTAGACTCGAGCGAAGGAGGTACGTAAATTTAGGTACAAGAATACAATGTCGCAAAATAGTAAGCGCAATATGCGAATTTAGTAAAAACAATTTATTAACATGATCTAAAAATTGACTTAACTTTAATTTTAAATGAGGTTCCAAACTTGGTATCAACAAAGGAGCACCTAAGAGGTAAAGTGAATCTGAACGCACTACGTTAATTCCCGGTATGATAGAGCTAAAATTTTGGGTCAAAATGATTTTGTCGGAAAAAGAAATCTTTTCGGAAAAGAAAATTTCGCATTTGGAATTATTTAAATCGAGACCGATATTTTTAATTTGTCTAATAATTTCGATAAGATCACTTTGTACATCGTCAACTTTACCTCCCAGCGTACCATCGTCTAGGTACCAGACATTAAGTTTAGATTTCAATTTTGAAATAATTGGATGACTTCCCAAACTAAATAATGCTGGTCCTAGCGGATCTCCCTGCTGAACGCCGACAGCAGAATCAATAATATTGTCTTCATAAAATAAATTACTCTTTTCACTGTAACATTGCCAAACATAGTGATATATTTCTGGTGTATGGTTAGCCACTTCGTTCAGCGAAACAATTTTGAATACAGGTTGATAATGACTTGGCAAGCTGCATCCGTGCACCTCTTGGAATCCTTTTGAGTATTGGTACATTGCTATGGTAATAATAGATCTGTTCCGAAAACAACTTTAAATTTTTGTCATTATAATCGCTAATAGTCTTATTACAAAATGCGGTAGGCTGTGAAGCTGCAACAGGGTGACTATGACAACGTTTAATGTGCATATTTAAGCCTCTTTTACCTTTAAAAAGCCTACCGTCGGAACACTTTTGACATGGTAGAAAATCCGTTTGAGAGCATGTACGAACATCGTTATTCATAATATTAAAAATCACCCTTGAAAAATTAAAATAAGGTCACTAAAAGTCACTAAAAGGCACGACAAGGAAGCCTCGCGACGACCACCACTGGCTCTTAACAGGACAGCGAGGCGTGGACGTGGAAGCTGAAAACAAATACAAATACATATCTGGGGCGACAAATTAGGTTAAAATATAAGAATTATTACAGTACTCCCCAGGTTTTATTAAATCCAAGACAACATATTTTCAAGCGTTTGACAGCTGACGTTCCTGACTTCGATCGCAGAGGATTTGTTTTCGTTGGCCGCAAAAATATACTGAAATGCAAAATTTATTTCTTAAATCGGAGTCTTAGATTTTTAAAACTGAACTTTCATCGGTTTTTGAGCCAAATTTGGCTTTAAAAATGAGGAATAAGAAAAATCGCTCCACTATTTCGGATACGGGATGATAAGTAATACTAATAAGCGGTACTAGGACGTTGTTAACAGAATTCAAAATGGAGGAGAGGCTCTGAATTCGATTTGGAATTTTTATTTTTCATTTTTATTGTATTCAAAACGTTTGGTATGGAGGGTACGGCATTATTGTCTAATGAACATCTGTTCTGGGATTTGTAATAAATAATTTCCTTTTTTCGAAATAGTCAGATCAATATCACACATTATAGCCGGCACATTAAGCTTTTCTCAAGTCTAGTCCTTGTTTTTGTAGTATATTTGGTCTAGTTTAGAGTATAACATGTTTAGATGTGTACGAAAAACAACAATTGTGAGACGATTTAGGGCGATGGCTCAGATACGCAATATAGGTTGAGCAAACACCAATGTTTCATTTCGCAATTTTAAATTTCTTTACGTAATTACTGTCGATTACTGTGTTTTAGGCACTTTGTCGCGTCTTATTTTGTTTATAAATTCATATTGTTTGATCGACCAATGTGTATTCATGTAAATACAAGAAATCATTATATATACCCAATTATTGCTATTTTCACATATTATTACTTATATATATTATTAATAATATGTTTACATCGACTTAACGGTATAAATTAACAGCTAAGAGGTGGGACATTTGCTTGACAAACTTAAATCAAGACAACATAGTACTGGCGATCACGTCACTAAAGGAATTCGAAATAATGATATGGAACTTACAATTCGATGCCATTTATATTTTTGCGCTAAAGTAATTGTAAGAAATTTTTCAACTTTAAAAAATGGGATCAATACACATACATACCTTTTTCACTTACCGTTTCAATTAATACTATTTATACTATTTCAGTTTTCTGCGTTACTTATCCAGCACTGACAACAATCGGGGATATTTTTTTGTGGGGCAACACCGCAGCTCTAGCTTTCGAATTGCCCCAAGATCCATACTCCCCCTTCGACCATCGCGCTGATCCCTTGCACCGGAGAGTTGACACCAAAACTATTTACTATACGGATTACGACGGGAGGGTTATACATAAAACACCATACAAAAGGTAAGAACCGACGTTGAGCTGATGAAAGGAAATAAAATGCTAATAAAAGTTGCTTTTAAAGTGGGCATGCGATATTCCCCGTGTATGGAGAACTGTGAATAACATAAACGACAATTAACCTAAATATTTATGCAATTTCTTTAATAGTTCAACAGTGCCGGGCTAGCATGATGCCAAACATTAATCTAATGTCAAATTAATAATACAAGTATTTATTACCTTGAATGGGCAGGGTCCTTCGGAGAAGTACCACGGCCTCGCAGAAAACCGACGTGAAGTTGAAGTTATTATACTTTCGCGTTTCGACTGTTGAGTGAGGTAACCGGGGCCCACTTTTTTAAAGTTTGTCAACGCATCTGCAAGCCCCTCAGGTGCTGTAGATGTACTTGGGGGATGTTATCCGCTTAACATCAGGTGGATCGCCTGCTCGCTTGACAACTTTTCACGTAGAAAAAATACGATAACATAAAATTAAATATCACATATTGTACATACTGTTTACATACATAAATAAATATCGAAAGGCATAATCTCGATGGCACGCGTGTCGTAGCTGCTAAGCGACCACCTGTGGCATCGAGCCGTGGGTTTGATTCCCACACGGGCCATGTACTTCCATGCGACCCATGGAGAAATAATTACCTCGAATCTGTTTATCCATCTAGTAGATGAGCATGTTAGTGTCCTCACAACACAGGGCATCGTTACCTACTGTTATTTACAGGAAGCCAATCGTGAATCCGGCGTTCGCGAAGCGGAGTGTACCTTCTTCGCGCCGATGTGAAGACGATATCGGAAATAAAGTGGACAGGGGGCGAATGCACGCATCGCAGCACAAGCGAGATTATCTAAAAGGGCAACAGTTGGCGGCGCGAGCTGTGGAGTTTCACAGAAGCGGCCGCGGCGCACTGTACCAGAAAATGGAGACAATGTTACAGGGGTACGTCGCGTTGATACGTGTTGTTTTGAATTTTTAATACGCCCCGCAGAGTTTCACAGCCGGTGCTTCTGTGCGCGCATTTGCTCTATTTCGGACTAGCTTTTATCCGTGAACTCATCTGCGCGAAAACAGTTAACATTTTCAATATGGGTTAGCTGAGTGTTGATTAAAAATAGAGACTAATAAAAGATAATAAGGTGCTTTGAATTATTGAATATACTACTATATACTTTTATTGACCACCACAAATGAAAAGATATACAAAAGTAATAATAGAAAAACAAATTTATGGAAAGTACAACTTGGCGGTCTTATATAAAGGCGGCCTTTCTTAGGCTCTTTCATGCAACTAATGGATATTTAAAACATAACCACTATAACCTGTTACCGACATCAGACTGAAAGTTGATAATTTTATTTTACTAAAATTTTAAACATATAAACTACAGTCAAAACGAATGCATAGCAACTTTAAAACTTTTAAGCAAATAGTAAACTTAAGAAAGGATTTATTAACTTCAAAGATTACACACATACTTACAAATAAATAAAACACATTTCTACAAATATATAAGAATATATTCGAGCAAGCTATGTGCAAATACCAGCACCGATGAAATTGTTAATTGTAATTTTAAATTCTGATTTATTACCTACAGAGCGACCAAGGAAAACCGGCATATTTTCCGAATAATGTTACATTACTTTCATAATTTTTGAGAAGTATATCTGCAACTGTTATTTAATCAGTTTATTAAATGGGATGTTTAGCTCCTAAGCTCCAGCACCACAAACGGCAACTCTAGTGGTAGCGTCGTATTAAATATACAGTTTTGTCGATGCGTTACATTGTCGGGAGTAAACGAACATATAAATTGTATGCATAAAACTTTTACACAACCATTGTATATTCCTCGCGTTATTTTAGCCTCGGCGTCGACGGCAGGCAGTGTGTTTTGAAATCGCTGTGCATGGTGGCGCAGTCGCAGAACCATCCCCAGGGAGATTTCTTGCAGGAAATATTGAGGGCTGTGCTCACGTACGTATGTAATCGTTTAAGTGTAGCGTGAATTTTTCATTAGTAGTTTTTTTAAAGCTAATCGCAGCGCAATTTTCTAACGAGAATCGGGGCGCTGAACGTTCCCGGTTAGTAAATATTTTGTTATAGTAAGTAAAGGATGAATAGTAAAAGAGAAGATGAAAAGTAAATGAGTAGAAATAGAATACACATTTTTTTTTGTTTTTTTTTTCTTTTTTGGGCTGGATGAGCCACTGTTGGCCTTAGGGGCCTTTACAGTTCCGACGGAATTGAGGTGGCCTGGCGCACGAGGCGCCTAGCCTGAACCTCTGCGTATTATTATTACGCGTTATGGTGACTAAGCTCGAGGGCTCCCGGGGGAGCCTCGGCTCGGGCCGTCACGCTATTATTATCACCGGTTTGGGAGGCCGCCAAGCTCTTAGGGCGCTTTGGCGGGCGCTCCATGGAGTGATCAGGCTCAAGGGTCCCCGAGAGGGGACCTCGGCTTGGGCTGTCACTCAGCACGCGTTTAGCATTCCGATTCGAGGGTGCCCGAGAGTAAATTAATGTATTTAATACATTAAATTAATGTATTAATGGTGTATTAATTTCTCTGTGTATTAATTAATACATTATTAGAAGAGAAATGAACTGCATTATTCGCTTCCAAACAAAGTAGGCAACTTTTTGTAAACTATTTTTTCTGGCGAATCGTTGTATCAGTATTTGTTTGTTAAGTTAAAGACATACTTTGACGTAGGAAATATAATGTAACATTAATCATATATAGATTTTAGCATCGAGTAACAGCAAAATTCTAAATAGCATTCATATGTGACGTTCACTTTTGAGATGATTACGAAAACAAAACTAGTCAGTTTGTCATTCTAACGGGACGATTAGAGTCTAGGTCAAGTAAACATCAATGTATTGTTAAGGACAACAACACATATATGGTAATAGTGAGATAACCACAGGGTTTAGATGGACTTCTAGTTAAAGGTGCAGTCTCAAAATTGAATATCAAATGCTAGCTATTTATACCTTACCATGTACATACAGTAAACACATACATTGTGTTTACTGCAAAAAAGCTGGTCATTGATAAAATTTAAAAGATAGCTCAGTGATACCTCAGTGCCCGGACCAATCAAATACTAGTGATTCATTATACTCGTGAAATCTGGTTTCAAATCCCAGTGCCAGCACAGATGAAACTGTTAATTTTAAGTGCTGAATTATCACGTGCACAGAGTTGAAGAAAAACATCGCGAGGAAACCTGCGTATTTTCGAAACATAAATGCCAATTGGTGCCAATCCGTAGTGGGGTCGCGAGCCTTAATACCATCTGTGCAGAGGAAGCCATTGCCCATCTGTAGAACATGAATAGGCTGTTATAGGCTACTTTACGTACATTAGTAAGTGTAGTAGGTAAAGTATTAAATTTTCGAGTCCATACCCAAATGTGGAATTATCATGTATATATTCAGAATTTCAAACGTCCAAAGAACTGTAGAACTTTACATTAGATTTTATTGCTAAAATGACAATTTTTTGAAGTAGCTGATATATTATTATTTTTATCACATTTTTATATAAAAATTACAATCACTATTTTATAGATTTACTGTGAAGATACAGCACTATAATGTACTAAAACCATGTATTTAATTAATCAATAAATTTTCACGATTTTAATTGCATTAATCTGAATCACTAGTAGTTACGGAAAAAAACCGTTTAAGTAGACCCATTTACTTTAAATGCGCGATCCCTTTTCCAATTCTATCGTATTTGAGGGGCGTTCTTAATCAACACGCACGTCGCAGTACTAGCCTAGTTTATGCTCGACTTGGTGAATGCGGCACACCTAGATTATCTGGGGCAATTACGAAGAGCTTTTGTGCTCGCGTTGCGGCGCTATACAGCGTTGTGTGACACAGACGGATGTCGTTCCCAGGTTGCCCCAGTCAGCTGACGTGGAGGACTATATGGAGGAGTATGACGCGGCATCGAAGGCGACCGAACCCTGCGAGACCCTGTACCCAGATTGCAACGAACCGCTCGCCAATGTGGACTCGCCGACGTTCAGCTATTGAGTGACGTCGGGTCGACGTAGTCGATTCTTCTTCTTCTTTCTCCTGCCCTTATCCCACACTAGGTGGGGACGGCACAACATGTCCTCTCCTTCCATTTTTCTCTATCAGCCGTCATCTCGATACTTTAATCGATTCGTTTTTGATTTTTTTTTAATTTTCAAACTTGGAACGACGTTCGCCAGAAACTAAGGATGATCGTAATTCCCTATGCTGTTCTTGACTCGTGCATTTTGCTTTTTCTTTTTGGATGTATCGTTCCTTATCAAATTTTTAAAAATTGCAAGACTGTTCTTGACTTTACTTTAATTTAATTTTTTTTAATTTTGTTATTTAATTTTCTATGTTGTAATTATCGAATGATTTAGTTTTGTATCAAAATGTATTTACATCTTTACTTAATCAGACTTGTGTATTATATGAATGTTATGTAAATCCGCAACGACCGTTATCGTTTTAATCGTAACTTAATTAACTACCAATCAAAGCTACTAATAAATTTAAATTTGAGCGCAAATTGGGCTGTTGGTACTTGATTTTTGAATGGGTACATTGAACATTATGAAATTATGATAATTATGCGCTACAATGAAATTTATTCTCATAATTTGTAAAACCATCCGCGGTTCGTTCGCTTAATATAGTGTTTAAAATATTACTCACAACTTTGTTATAAGTTTCCATTGCTCACAATTTATTATGTAATATGTTCAATAAAATTAAAAACGTGATAAGAGATTTCTTTTAACTTTTTTGCCCGTTGTCTCCGTCACATTTGCAGGTTTAGCTCCCAATTCGACGGACACGCTTTTCAACACCACCTTTTTTGTTCTTTCCAAAATGGTACGATTTCGAACGAGAATAACTGTAAGAACATTGACACAAAACATGTTAATTGCCGTTTCATTTATACACGTTTGCTTGGAAGGTGTCGTGTGGGGCGTGGACAGTTCAGATTACGTTTTCCATCCACGTGACCACGTTGAGCGGGATTTTCGAAAAGGAAACGTAGCCTTGTTTGCTCGTCGCATTTGCGCTGTGCACGTCTGCGTCAACGAAGAGTCTTTATACACGATACAGAATTCCAACATGAACTTAGGTGGGTACGAAGGTCTAGTCTTGATAATAACGCTGATCCGAGCGGCGTGGGGCGATAATGAAGGAGTTTGTAATAACGAGAGCTGCGATGTGAGCGATGGGTCGCTGGGAAATGGAACCCGTTCCCGGCCACTGTCCAGGACGAAAAGGTTCATTGTGTTCCCAGATGGGAGCTCGTTCCAATTGGGTGAGTGATTTAGTTTATAGAAAATTGGAATTGAGCCATTTATGCTACCTTAGTCGGTCGACTCGACAGACTCAGAATTGGACAATAGGTGTTTTTGCTCTATATCTTATCCTTTAAACGAGCAATTCTTGTATATATATTTATATATATATATATATATATATATATATATATATATATATATATATATATATATATATATAAATCGGAATCTCGGAAACGGCTCCACCGATTTTCATGAAATTTAGTATGTGCATAGATTCGGGGGCGAAAAGTCGATCTAGCTAGGTTTCATTTTTAGAAAATGTCCTTTTATCCCTGTTTTCAGGGAATGAAAAATATAATCCGAATATGACGGTAAATTTCGCCGCAAGAGAAAATGTCATAATAGCTCGGTCGGTAATCGGGCGGCCCCAAAACAGACGGCCGTGGTTCGCGTCACGATCATTTACACATTTTTTTTTACTTTTTTTTCGATTCCAGATCATTGCTTTCTTTATTTTTAATTTTTTGTCGATTTTTTATTTTGTTATTTTTTCCCTTTTTTTTTTAAAGTTCTTTCTTTTGTGAAAAACATCAGTTCATATTTTCTTATTATTACGTCGGTAAGATCGAAAAATAATATACTACAATTTACCAAAAAAAAAACAAACCGAGCAAAGCTCGGTCCTCCGGGTACTTTTTTTTATGTGAGAAATTGGCAAGTGAGCCGGCCGTTCAATTGATGTTAAGCGATGACCACCGGCGATTGACATTTGCAACACTCGTAGAGTGGTGCAAACGTCAACAAAGTGGTCCCGGTTACCTCACTCACATATAACACGTCACTTCACGCCGATCTTCTGTGATGTCGTGATACTTACCTGGACTGGCATACCCGTTGACATGACGTGGTGGTGGTAGAATGATGGAAATTGTTTTTTTTCATGTCAAAAAATGTCATACGGACAGACAGTTCACCTTATATCAAGTGATTGCCGCCGCCAATGGGCATTTACAACATGAGTTGCTAATGCGTTGACAACCTGTAAAAATAGTGGTGAAATGCTATGCGAATGAAATGCCTTAGTTACGTTTACCACACGGCGAAACGCCGTGACGCGAAAATTCATCCCATAGCTGTCATCAAACTGCATCAAGCATTGCGATGACAGCTAGATGATTTTTAACGTTGCAAGAATGGGCAGGCGCGTCCAGGGTATCCCACCGCTTCACAGAAGACCGGCGTGAAGTGGAAGTATTAAACTTTCGCGTTTCGCCTTGTGAGTGACGTAGCCGGGGCCCACTTTTTAATAGTTGTCCATTGGTGGCGGTATTCACTTAACTTCAGGTGAACCGCCTGTTCGCTTGACAACTTTTCACATTTACAAAAATTATACATTTCACACATATATATCATTTTACACGTATGTGTATTATATGTGTAAACTTGAATATGGTGGAAGTTCTTCACGGATTTAATTAAACGTTTTGTTCTTTAAAATGGCTCTAATATCTAGGCAGTTACCGTTAGATAACGTTGCGATTTGGTGATATAATCGGCCTGTTAGTTGTGTGTCAATTGTAATAATATTAACAGTAATATGAGGCGTTTTTGCTTTTTATCTAGAGTTCGATATGAATATGGCATGACTTTTTAGGTCACAAGTCCACTTTTTTTTAAGTGTTTCGGTCTTTCGGATATCTTAAGAGCAATAGCTCCGTCTCACAACCATGGTCGGTGTGTGATTAGTTTTGTTTTATTAGATTAGTTTTATTTTTCGAATACTTGAGTACCAACCCACACGATACTTGACGATGATGTGGTATTTGGCGGCGGTTATCAATTATCATCGGGTGAAACTTGCTCGCTTGCCACCTTCTCACATAAAAACTACGGTTTTGTTAAAGAGTTTTGCAGTAGAAACTAACTTTCAAGCGCCGACCGGCAAAATAATCCATTTTAATAACTTCTCAAGACATACGAATGTGTAGCAAAGTTTTAAATGGACTTAAAAATATTGTTACATGTTCTCACGAATTTAAACGGGCGAACAAATTACAATTCGGCCTCTTTATTACTTACTTAGGAAGATGTAAAGCTAAAATTAAAAGAAAAGTATATAGAAAATATAAGTACACGGAATTATACTATTGATTTATTTTATAAATTTGTTAACTAAATTTTTACATGTCATATTTATTAGCAATATTTAGATATATCTATTTATTTTATATGTTTTTCCAGCTTACAAAAACTTTAGTTTATTATAGTCTTAGTTTATTACTACCGGTCTGGGTCGTGAGATCGAACATGTCTGGATTTCTTGATATAAAAGGTTATTATTAAGTCACCAGGGCCACTGGTATATGCTTATTTATTTTAGAAGGAATATTTTGCCAAATCAAGTGTTAACTTTACAATAAACTTGGAGACTTTGAAAATTATTATATCTTTGTTTTTTATAGAACAACAACATAGCAATTGTTGTTGTTAATCATTAAATGGTTTTAACAATGTCATAGTTATTTCATGACAATTGATAGAGTATTATAGTAATTTTTATTCTTATCTCCAACAGTATTTTGCGTGCAAACCATGGCAGTGATCCCCATCGGTGATATATTTCTGTTTGGAAACACAGCGGCGCTCGCTTGGAATCTGCCATCTGATCCAAAGTATTTTAATATTTTTAAAAAATACGAAAAACACGCACAAAGAAGGGGCGATTCGAGCAAGCACATTTACTATTTAGACGATACTGGAAAGGTATTGGCTAAAGTACCGTTTAAAAGGTGAGTTCATTTCGTACTTTGTATCTGATGTCGTTCAGTTTTTAGACTTGTAATTTCAAATAATTTTTATCTAGTACTATACCCATTATAAATTTTTGCAATAGATACAATGGTTCCGGATAGTACACCTCACGTACTAAGCGTAAACAAACTCACAGTTTTCGAACATTACACATTTAACATGTTCATATAGGCTTTTTAACATTTATCATAAATAATGCATGGTAGTATTTGCTTATATTTACGCGAACATTATTTATTTTTTTTATATGAGAAGATGGCAAGCCAGCTGGCGGTTCACATGATGTTAAGTGATAACCACCGCCCATAAAAGTGGCTACCTCACTCAACAGACGAAACGCAGAAGTTTATCACTTCCACTTCACGTCTGTCTTCTGTAAGGTCATGGAACATACTCGGACGGACCTGCCCATTCATGTACAGAACATAAATGAAATTATTTATTACGGATTCTGATTTTATTTTTTAATATAAATGACTTACGGTCAGAATATTTCTTAGCTTTCGTAATCACGGGTCAGATGCTTCAGTAAACTATTGTAATTTTTTAATAATTTAGGCCCCTTGAACTTGGATTCACCTAAATTACTGGGAAAAAAACATTTCGACTCTCACGTGACAATAAAATCTATGAATATATAACAGACTGTCCTGTGACGATAAAATCTGCGAATATATTCTCATGCAGTAAAGCATTCACATACAAAATAATACAGCCTACTTGTTACGAAAGGTTATGAAAAAACGTATACAGAGTATTATTTACAAAAATTGTGTACGCACAGCATAGCCTTTAGCCTTTTAAGCCGACTCGTACAGTGAAATCTAAAAGTATTTCTCGTTACTCTTTATTAATGTTTGCCGAAACTTAAACAGGAGAGAGCATATTTGGTAACAATACACGAAAATTTAAAAAAAAAGCAATCGGAAGCGGAAGCGGAAATAACGGTAACAAAAAAAATGATTGCCACTGCAATCTCGCATCGAGATACTCGGGTACATAAAATTTTATTGAAAAACAATTTTAATTGTGATTCATTTGACAGACCGGTTATAGTCAACCCGGCGTTTGCAAAAAGGAGCACTGATGACAAAGTAGCGTTCCGAGAAAAATTGAAAATCAAAATAGACAGAATGAAAATGCACGAGAAACAATCGAGGAGGGAATTCCTGAACAAAGAGCATTTGGATAAAGACAGCGTGGATTTTCACAGAAAAAGCCGGGTGGAGTTGTTTGAGAAAATAGAAACATTGATGAATGCGTAAGTAAGTCCCGTAGATGATTATAAAGAATAGGTATTATGAAGATCAATTCGTATACTATTTCATATTTCGTGAAAGTATCATGTGATTAAAGGTTTTTAAGTTTTGAGCTGATATTGAAAAATCTTTATTACTGTCCTGGAACATAATCATATGAAACTTTTCACTATTTATTTCAAATTTTATTAGATATCGTAATTGATATGACGGGTATTAAGTGTAAGCGAATTATTGCTATGGTAACTAAATATTTATTAGTCCGAAAAATTGCAATTGTATATTGTATTTTAACGAATCAATTAGTGTTGTGGATTCTGAACCTATCTTTGACACCAAAGGACGTTGGTTCGATCATCACAAATGGAAAAATAATATGTGAGGTATGTTTAGTGATTTCTCAGTGTCTACTGTTTTTGTCTAGAATATTTATTTACTTACCAAAGAAACGTACGTTCAAGTATGTAAATCAGTTATGAATATAGGACAAACTTAACTTAGTTTGCGATTAGATAACGTAATAGAAATGTAAAGGAAATTTATTACAACAACAAGCCAATAAATAAATTAAGATACATAGATAAAACATGCAATTATTCCACATGAACAGTCACTCCATTCTACTGAGCAATCGTTTTAATCAAGCAGAACGTTCATGAACTGTAATTAGTTTGACAAATTACTTGAGTTAGTTGTTGCGTCACACTTCAGAGATTACATAGTTACAACCCTTCTCCATTATGACCGGGGAGGTTTTGTGGTTGTTTAATAAATTTTAATGGTTTAAGCCACTCATTTGGCTACCCCCTTGTGTTAAATATAGAGTTCAAATTAATACTATGAGCAGGAACAGATAAGAAGTTTCTTCCCTAAAGCAATTGGCATACTTCGAAAGTCAAAGAAAGAGGGGAAGGGAGCAGTAACAATCTTAACGATGCAATGGAAGGCAAATAACATATTTAAGCACAGAATCAGGAAGTTGTTTGTTTAATAATATATATGGTTAATTTTATTTTAAGTGCTTGTCTTTGCACTTAATGAGAAACTAATAATGTTTTTAATATATTGGTAAATGGTAAAAGCTTTCGATGTTGCGCGGTCCCAGCGTGTGTATTCTGGGTTCTTCACCTTCTGGGTGCTTACATGGAAGACGCAGGTTCGAATAGGGCGGCGCATTTATCTACAAAATTCACATTTTATTGATAGTCTTCCGTTTTTGAATTATGTAAATAAATGATTTAATAATGAGCCAATAAATAATTCGTTTAAATCCTGGAGGACCTGTTTTTTTTTTGGTAAATCGTGTATTTTGGAAATTACATTTCGATACAAATTACAGAGTAATGAAATATGCATAATATTTTTCGATCTTGCCGACGTAATAATAAGAAAATATGAACTGGTGTTTTTCACAAAAGAAAGAACTTTAAAAAAAAAGGGAAAAAAGAACAAAATCATCTGGATGGACAAAAAATAAAAAATAAAGAAAGCAATGATCTGGAATCGATAAAAAGTAAAAAAATAAGTATGTAAATTATCATGACACGAATCACCGCCTTCTGTTTCGGGGCCGCCCGATTACCGACCGAGCTATTATAACATTTTTTTATTATCAAAATAAATTTATTATTAATTATCAAAACAGGGATAAAAGGACATTTTCTAAAAATGAAACCTAGCTAGATCGATTTTTCGCCGAAAATAGCTGGAGCCGTTTCCGAGATTCCGATTATATATATATATATATATATATATTATATATACCTATATATATATATATATATATATATGATCGGAAAAGAGCCGTGATAGCTCAGTGTCGGGGCGCTCGCCTTTAATTCGATGTACTCGAGCAACCTGCGTTCGATCCCCGGTGCCGGCATCAATGAAGTTTTTAACTTTAAGTGCTGAATTATCACGTGCTCCGCGGTGAAGGAAAACATCGTGAGGAAACCTACATATTTTCGAAATAATAACAAAAGAAAAATTTCGAAGATATGTGAAGTCCGCCAATCCGCAGTGGGGCCGCGTGGTGGACTATGCCCTGATACCCTCTGTATAGAGTAGGCCTTTGCCCAGCAGTGGGACATGTATAGGCTGTTACTTTACTTTTTATATATATATATATATATATATATATATATATATATATATATATATACAAGAATTGCTCGTTTAAAGGTATAACATATATACTTACGTATTCAGAGCCGTGATGAATGTGTCCGGGCGTTCTTTTCATTTAAAAATTAATTCAATATACTCGAGCAACCCGAGTTCAAATCCTGGTGCCGGTACCAATGAAATTGTTAATTTTAAGTGCCTACTCATCAAGTGCTCACCGGTGAAGGAAAAAATCGTGATGAAACCATATAGCGAGTCTGCCAATCCGTAGTGGGGTCGCGTGGTGGACTTACGCCCTTATACCCTCTGTACAGAGGCGTCCTTTGCCCAGCAGTTTGACACATGCATCGGTGTTTACTTCGCTTTATTTAAGTAAGGTCGGTGGCGCGGTTGGTTTCAGGGCTGGCGGTCGTAGGTCCTATTCTCACACGGGTTAAGTATTTGTGTGACCAACAGATAACAGTAACTGTTTCGGATCTTAGTGTTTCTTCCCAAGCAGTGATGAGGTAGGCGGCCAGTCGCAAAATACCTAGAATATACCACCACGGTTTACACATTGTTACAACCTAAGGCGGTATAACTGCAGGTGGATGCTGATGGTACGGTTGGTAGGTTAAATTAAACCTACCAACCGTACATTCATGCAACTAGTTCAATTCTTATTTTAGCTTCTTAATAGCAATTTTAACCAGACGTGAATTAACCTCTTTTTAATACAATAAATTTCAAATAACCTAGGTGAATTTTACCTTTTAAGGATTTTAATTTGTTTTTCTTAGGTTATGTTCGTTAGATGCACCTATAAATGTTGCTGTATAATGGTTCAATTGCGAAAACCAGACGTGTAAAATCGACGAAAAGGTTTTGACGTTGCGAGGATTAGAATCTGAGTCCTCCGGGATAAGCGCCAGACGCTCTAGCCGCTGAGCTAAACGGCTTATCTTCACACCAACGAAAATATCATTGCATTTTATCAGCTTAATTTATATAATTTATATAATACGTTTATAAGCAATGTTTGACGTTATTTGGTGTGTCCTTAACAGCAAACGACCACGTTTTCATGTAACATTTATAAAATGGACTAAAAGCTAGTCATTTTAATGCTTCTGACAATTTCAATCTATAACTGTTTATAGAAAGCTGTTATTAAGCAAGTGGAAATTCTTAAACGCTCTGTTCGCAGGTTGGGGCGGGACGGGCGACGATGCGTTCTTTATAAACTATGCGAATCAGCGCAGTCTCCCCGACAAGGCACATTCCTGCAGGAACTCTTCCGAGTGGTATTTACGTAAGCATTCCATTTATTTCGCCCCTACATCAACGATATCTACGATTAAACCCCCTATATCTTTCAACGTAAGATGTCACTTCATTTTCCCTTTGAATACGATTCTAGCGCGATTAATAATCATGATTCGCGGACTTGGAAAGTTTATAAGACGAACGTTATCCTTATCCAATCGTCAAATTAATATTGAATGTCCGAAAATATCAATCTGTAAAATAACAGTAACGGCACTGGAAACTGAAAGTGAGATCCTGATTAGACAGTTACTTTCAAAGAGATGAGATATTATGTAATTTCATTTTTAAATTTCGAACGGCTTAATGTTGTTATAGGTTGCCCAAAGGTCCTGAGTTCGATGCCGAGGAACACAAAGATTATGACAAAGCTCATACAAAGAAGAACGACTGTACCTCAATGTATGCCGGATGTGAGCATTTCTAGATTCTCTAATAATTGGGAAGATAAATATTTTGAAAACGTTAATAAATCATTTCAAGTTCCACGGATTGTTTTTGTTTGGCCACAAACTTCGATAAGCAACAATATTTATTTTGATTAAATATTTCCTTATCTTTAACAAAGTATATACCTTTTGTATGGTTGTTTTGCAGTGAATTCATTAACTTGAATATTTTTATAGTTTGTAGTAGTTCATATAGTTCTAAACATTTTATGTTGAAAATATAAAGAACACATAATACATATAACCATTATAACTTTGCAACAAAACACTTTATAACTTATTCTGCTGCCTTTTCTTGGTAGTTTTGAGTTATTTGTGATACTGATTGATTGATAAGAAAAGAAACTTGTAAAATTAATTTAAAGTTTGATAGTATGTATTAGAGTATAACAACGAAGCAAGCGCAAAATTCTGATAGACTGTAATTAACTTTTCCCGCTTTTGTCTTTTTACAATCATACATGCAATAGCTCATTAAGTTTTAATTAATTTACCGGTGCAAATCAATTGAAATGTTACCTGTTTAACTTGTTTTCATGAAATAAGGTATTCAATAACATACCAGGTAGTGAATACTTTTTATTGTTCAGTTTTATTAATCAGGTTTTTATTGAAAATGTTATGATGAATTCGAATAACTGATGTGTAATCATCAATTTTAAGTGATGACCAAATATTGATAAAACAATTTTATAAGTTTTCTTTTTTTGAAATAAAGATTGCACGGAAGTTCGGAAGATTGGGAACCATTTAGAAAATCACGATAGTTCTTGTTTGACTACGTCTAAAAAGTTAGTGCCATGAATAATATTTGATGGACTATAGTCAACTATGCAAAGTTATAGAAAACGACGAGTCTACATAAATTGGCTGTGACACATGCTGTAATTTGGTTTAACTTCGTGATTACTTTTATTATCGGAATACTTTGAAATATAATTGTAGGCCGAACAAATTATTCATTGTATTTTACTAACTTCAACTAAAATAATAATATGACATGTCATCAATAATTAGGATTAGACAGTTCAATTTCTATTAAAGATTCCAAAATCCCGAAACACTATTTACTTAACAATAGTTAAGGCCCACCTATTAGAAAAGCCTTAATTAAAAGTGGACGGGCTCTTGTCCGTTCCAGTGCGCTTTGAAATAAGTAAATTACAACATTTTAAACAAGTTAAGAAATATGATAAATGAGATGTATTTTAAAATAATAACAATAAACTTTAAAAGACAGAAAGCGTGTTCAGTGAACATGTGCGTGCACAAGAGTGTTACACTGTTCACGTACAAAAGTTACACACAGCTTTGCCGGCGGAGTCGGCGGCTGAACGCGATGCCGTCTGAGTAGGTGCATTGCTAAAGTTTAGCGCAAAATGTTTGTTAAGAAATGAAAGAAAAAAAAATACATTTATTTACGAAAAATGATGTTAAACAAAACAGTAAAGTAGAGTAACAGCCTATACAGTTATGTATCGGTGTCCAGTAGACTGGCTGGATCTTATTCCTCACGCACAACCTGTATTGGAAGCTCTTGGCGAAAACTCAATTTTCATTGGTGTAAACGTTTGAACCCTCCTGTCCGGAAGCGTGTTCTAAATTTTCTAATAAATTTGAATTCATCATTTGAACTGGCTAATTTGAAGTCGCAACCTCAATTTTATAAGTATTTCTAGGATTTTCTGAAGTGGACTTGAGATCAGAATAGCCTACCAATTACAGAGCTGAAGAATGTGATTAATGGTAAGCGTATTCTGTTAGACTGTTTATAGTAAATAAAAAGTAAAGTAACAGCCTATACATGTCCCACTGCGGGGCAAAGGCCTCCTCTATATAGAGGGTATCAGGGCATAGTCCACCACGCGGCCCCACTGCGGATTGGCGGACTTCACATATCTTGGAAATATATATTTTTTTCTAATTATTTCGAAAATATGCAGGTTTCCTCACGGTGTTTTCCTTCACCGCGGAGCACGTGATAAATCAGCACTTAAAGTTAAAAACTTCATTGGTGCCGGCACCGGGGATCGAACTCAGGTTGCTCGAGTATATTGAATTAAAGGTGAGCGCCCGGACACTGAGCTATCACGGCTCAAGACTGTTCATACTGGCGATATATTATTTTATATTTATTTAACCAAACTTTTTTGCATTCCAAAATCTTGAGGATCAGACTAGATATAATTATAAAAATAAATGACTAATATTAATGAGAAAAGTGATTTTTTGTTTAGCTGCTAGTTATTTTTGAAAAAAAAAAAAATTATTCAAAGGTAACGGAGGTAAAAATTTATTATATTACAGGGAACGAGGGACTGTAACAATGAACATCTTCAGAGCAACAGTACATACATTCTATTATATAACAAGTTTTTCTCACTTTCAACAAGTACTTTATTTAAGTACGTGGGACTCTCAGAAAGTTTTGAAAAAACAAAAACTAACTTATACGGATAAAATATTTTCATTAGTTCTCCTCAAAGAATTCTCCATCATCCCCTTTACAAAGTTTCATGAGTCTGATCCAATTTTCGAAGCACTTTTACCAGTTCTCAGCAGACACCTCTTCTATGGACTTCCTTATGGTATCCGGCGATGAAAACTGTATCACTTACAGATGCTTTTTATATTTTAGAGAATAAAGTGTTACACGGTACCAGATCAGGGCTGATAAAGGGTGATCCAAGACTTTGACCGGTGTGGTGGAAAGGAAGTCCCTGCTTTTGAGCGCTGAGTGCGCGGGCCCGTTGTTTGGGATTCAGTACCCTTTGCATTGAAAGTTTCTGGTGAGCATTTTATAGTATACCATCCGGCGTTGATGATGCTTCGATATTGTAATGGAATTGATACCAGATACCCAGTCAAAGTGAAGAAACAAGCGATCAAAATTTTTCCTTCCCTTCCCTTCCCTTTTTCAATTTGCGTTTCTCAATCTCTTCACTTGTGTAGCCGTTGGTTCGTTTTGAAACAGCTAAAGTGTTGACTGACGCTTTGTTTCTGGATCGTATTGATAAATCCAGGATGCGTCATATGTCACAGTGTCGTAAACGCGCCAAGACGAGCCTGCTACAAGTTTTCTAATCACGTCACGGCACCATTCCAACGGGCCTGTTCCTAAGCTTCGTTAAGGTTGTGCGGCACCCAGCGTGAAACTATCCTCCGCACGTGAAGTGCTCATGTATAATCTTGTGAACTCTTCCCGAACCAATCTGCAATGTATGCTAAATCTCATTGAATGTAATTCGCCTGTTTTCTAAAATTAAATCTTTTGACGTTTGTTCATCACCCAGAGTTAGACGACCGCGTTTGAATTCGTTATGACAACGGTAGATGGTTGCTTTCGAAGGTCCTTTATCGACAAATGCCATTTGAAGTCGATCAATCGACTCGTCCCGTTTTAAACCACATTTTAAATCGTAAAAAATCATCGCACGAAAATGTTCCCGCTGCAGATCCATTTTTACAAAACACAAAATAAATTCAATTTTAGTCGCAAAAAATGTGGAGGGATATTTATAATTCGAACGTCTTTTTACTTTTAAATGTTTAAACTTTTTAAAATATCTTCCAATCCGCAATGTTTTTTTATTAACATTGAATTCTTACCTGCGTTTTTATGAAGTACTGTTATATTTCCTAGCTATTGATCCAGGACAAGTAAATCTAGAAACTATCAGCCACAAAAAGCTTAAGAGGCATTTTAATGTTGCTGTAACAAAATACAGTCGCGTAGAATTCGTTTTAAACCATATACAACCATGATAATTTAATCAACGGGATAAATGATTTTAAGCCTAGAAATTAACGTAGATATTATTTAAATAAGGAGGGTAAAACTTGACTGGGGTTTGATTAATATATAACAAGTCGGCATAAAGAAACCTATTCCAGGTAATGAATACTTTACAAGGCACGTTGAAAACATTTTTATTCATTTAAGAATGATTTCTCAAAAATGACGTATGCAATTAAAACGCACTAACTTATATTCAGTGGTATGTCGGGGGTGTTGGCCGAATTGTGCTTTCTTGTTAATATGATAGAACAATAAATAATTTGAAAATATAAAATATACTTCCAGACACTTCCTAACATAAGTGTACTTAGAGTAAGGCCTTAATTGAAAGTAAACAAGTTCGCTACCCATTTGTATTGTTCTCTAAATTTGATAAACGCCTACATGCCAAAGAGTATTTGTACCAGTTGTTGTTGGACGGAGCTTGTCTATTGTCTTTCTCCAAAACAGTAAATAAGTTATGTTGGCTTAGGAATAAGCTTGTTTTTGATTATCGCTCGTCGAATTTGACCATTGGAGTGAGGCAGAAAAATTTTGTCAATTGTGTGATAAATGTTTACAAGTGGGTATAAGAGAGGAAAACAATTTTCGAAGGTACCCGTTACAATTAAAATACAGAAGACTGGTAAAACATTATCAATAAGACACTCGAAGCGTTGAAAATGAGAAGTGCCATCAGATTTACACTTTTGTTTCTATTTGGAGTAACTTCGGCGAATCTGTACAAAAACAATGCCAGCGATGTCGAAGATTCGTCTAAAGTTCTTTCACGCAGAAAGCGATTTATTGTTTTTCCTGACGGGAGCTCCTTTCAGTTGGGTAGGTAAAATTATTGTTACTCTTTTTGATGAAATATTATTCGGTAATGTTGTGGCCTTTCAATTTGGCACTAATATAAAAGTTCGCTTGGCTCTCAAAAGGTTTATATTAAGTTGAAAACATGTGATTGAAATAGATTGCAGTTGCCAATAAACTCGTGCGAACTCCGTGAAAATTCTTCCCAAGTCTTTTGGCAAAATCTTTTAAGCGATGAAATATCTTTACTGTTTTAAATACATCTTCCTTTACGATAAATGAGATTTTTTTTTTAAACAATGCCCTTACTTTAAGATAACGTTATCCTGCATTGTAAGGACGTTTTAGAAATATTTCACGCGGACAAACAGTCAGATGCGA